CAAAACTAAATACAATAAGTGGTCTTATTTCTAAAGCTATATCAGATCAATATATTGATAATGTTGAATTTAATATGATACTTTCAGAACTTGAAAAGTTTCAAACTATGATTGAACAAATTAGAACAAAATCTAAGAATGATATAGATGAGCAGACTAAAGAGTCAATATTTAATAAAGGAATAGAAAAAGGCAAAAGTGATGTTATCGAAGTGTTAAATATGAGGTTTAACAAGAATCAAAGTATAGGAGTGATAAATAATACTCTTAAAAATTAAAACATATATTATGTATTACTTAACATAACATATGTTGATTTAAAATTTTTTACCTATATAAAAAAAATGTCGTATGTAAAAGCTTTAAAAAAATTAGCAAAAGAACTTGATAGTCTAAAGAAAAGTTTATATCAAGATTCTATTAATGAAAAGTTAGGTTATGATAATTTACAGACTAACTTGGAAAAATTGTACAAGCCATTAATAGATAGTCAATCTGGTATAAAAGAAGGTTTAACTAAATTAGAAAATAAAGCTGATCAAATAGCTAATACTTTTTCAAGTTATCCTGCTTTACTAGATTCTGAAACTAAAGCAATTATGCCACCTGAAATTGTAAATAACATGTCATTAGGAACTATCGCAGCAGAATATCTAAAGTTATATACTGCTAAAAATAGTAAAAAAGTATCAGATGACATATTTTGTATACATTACAATAAAGGTGATAAAAAATTTTACATTGTTAAAAAACCAGTAACTATTGAAGGTGATGATATAACTATTGAAGGTAAAAAATATACTGGTACACCTGGTCTTTGGGAGATTATAGTAAAATCTCATCCTGTTAGATATACTAACGATGATCGTAATAAGTATAAAGAAATTTTAGATCAAACAGATGCAATTCGCTCTGATTTAAATTCAGCTAAACCGAGATAATCTAGAAGTTATATACACTCATATAATAAAACCTATTTGGGAAGAGATGATTGGAAAGTCTGGAAAAGGAGTTATCATTGAACAAATAATTCTTCCTAGTGATCCAAATGCACTATTTGATATGCTTAAATTACGCTTAGCTGCTTTACAAGCAGGTAATACTGGAGCTAGAAATGAAGCTGTTGCTATTTGTGAGGAGCTTTTAATGCAAGGTCAAATAGATGATGATGAGAATAAAGCGTTACAGAATGCAATAAACTTAAAGTTAATTAGGTCTCTTTGAAACCCAGGGTTCTTTCAGAACCTAGCGAAGCAATAATCATGAAGTGATTTAAAAAATTATTTTATATATAAAAAATGACAAAATACTATGATACTCTTATAAATCTTTCAGATAGTCAAAAAGAAAAAATTAAAAAAGCAATTGAATCTGATACAAATGCTGTTATAAAATTAACACATCAAGATCTAAATGGTGAACATAAAATAGCTTTAACAGATTCACAAAGAAACAGAATAAAACAGCAAGAAAATCACGTGATATTTTTCGACAAGAAATAAAAAATTAACATTTATTTAAAAAATTTAATTTTTTTTTATTTTTTAAAATTGAAAAATTTTATTTCCTATCTAAATAATTTATACACAACATGGATAATATTGAACCAAATATTAATATTAATATATGGTTAAAAATATGGTTAAAAATAAAAAAGAGGGAGAACTCTCCGCCTCCTTCTACTTATATATATATATATATATATATATATATATATATATATATATATATATATATATATATATATATATATATATATATATATATATATATATATATATATATATATATATATATATATATATATATATATATATATATATATATATATATATATATATATATAATATTTATATATATGTATATATATATATTAATATACATCTATAACTAGATGTCTGACTTGCAGGATTTTATTGGACAAAAAGTAAAGCCGCTATTTTTTGTTTATAACAATAGGCCGCCTTTCTAAAAGGGCAAAAGCTGAAGCCGAAGTGTGGAATAAAAGTTAAAAATGCAAGTCAAAGGTTCCCAAAAAATTAAAGATAATTCAAAAACAAATTTTAATTATTATAAAATACTTATAAAAGTTTTATTATGAGTCTATGTTTATTAAAGAATATTTTAATTTATAAAAATTCTTTAAAAGCGTCTGTTATTTTACTTTTCTATACAAAACTTTAATCCCTTTTTAATCGAAAAAAATAGCAAATTCTAAATTAATATTTTACAAGTATTATAATTTTAACTTAACACTTTCACTTAAATAGTATTTGAAATTAAAATATATTTACTTTATTTAAGAAAAGAAAAGTGTAAAATATTTGTATACAAACTTAATCCGCCATTTGTAAAAAGAGCAAGGAGCGGCTTCACTTTTCGGATTGAAGTTAGAAATCTAGTTATATAATATTTCATTTGTCTGGAAAAAGATCGGCATGATCGGCACATCGTAAAACAAACATAGCGAACCATTGGAATATGAACGGCATTTCCGATGCAGTGGTGCCGGTCATCAGCCAATGAATCCCATGCATGGAGAGTTAGCTGGGCGGCTTGCAAACTCACTATATGCCTTCAGCTGGAGAATATCACTGCAGGTGAGTTTCTCTTTGACTAGAACTCAATAAGGTGTGAATTTAATAGCAAAGACCATGAGTTAGCAAAAGATATTCAGAAGGGAATTATAAATCGGGATATTGTTCTACAAGAAAATTCACTTTTTCTAGCAGTGGTTTACATAGATATTCAACATGGTTGCATGCTGAAAAGTGAAGACAAGATTTTTTTATTAATATAATTTATTATAGTTATAATATTATCACCACTTTGTTTATATAAGTATATATTGTATAAATGCATTTTACATAAACGAATATAAAATTACGCGTATTCAAAATTACAAATTTTAGATGACTGCAGCTGACGGCCTTTGCAAAATAAAATGCAAACTGAAAAAAAAAATAAGAGTGTACAAGTTGAAACAAGTAGCAGTAATATCAATATTATCAAGTAATATCTACCAACTCTCATGCTATTTTTGTATTTGATTTAGATTCTAAACACAAGGCGCATGTCACAACAGTAAAAACAGAGACCTAATTTATTTTTACTGTGCCAAAAGGAGTCAGAAAGCAATTTTTCAGAAGAAGATGTGCAGAACCTACTTTGTACAATTAAAACTCGGCTTGTTCATTGACTTGTCAAAAGCTTTTGACACTGTTGATCATAAAATTCTTTTGTACAAACTAGAAACATATGGAGTAACAAATAACATCTTAAATTGGCTACAAAGCTACCTTAAAAATAGCAAACCAGGAGTAATTTTTGATTCAACGTGCACAAAGTTAGAAACAATAAGCTGCGAAGTTCCTCAAGGCGGAGTTTCTCTGCGGAGTTCCTGCGGAGTTCCTCATTCTTTGACCCTTACCGTTTCTGATTTACGTAAATGATATTTATCTCCCTTCAGACTTGCTTGTTTTTGTTCTTTTTGCTGATGACACTAATCTTTTCTTATACCCATTCCAATTTAAAATCAATTTTTTTACAGTTAATCATGAGCTAGAAAACCTTAATGACTCAAACCAAACAAACTTTCTTTGAATATCAGTAAAACTAAGTACATTTTATTCCATAACCAATCTAAGTTCAATGATTTGTCTCTGCAGCTTCCTCAGCTAATAATAAATAACAATATAGTAAACAGAGTTTCATCACTTAAAATTTTAGGAATAATATCTGATGAACATCTTAATTGGAAAAATCATATTACTATATGATTTTTCCAATTAAAAATTATATTATTATATGAATAAACTGTATCAAAAAAATAAAATAAGAAAACTTTTTAACATAGTATGCGATCCGCTAGTCAAAGTATAAAAGTAAAAAAGTTAACAAATCTACTCATTTAAATTACATAAGTAGTATTTTGTTAAGTTCTCTAAGTTGCTTAAATTTTGATTCGGGCTATATAAAATAACTTTAACAAAAAAAAATTTTTATCAATAAAAATTTAAATTATTTGTTAGTTCATTGTTCTAGCATGTAATAACTTATATTATATGCATCTATTTTACTATTAAGTTTATCGTTTAATGGTGTCTATCATTCAGTTCGGACCCACAAACTTTAATACTGTGTTTGCTGTCTCAATGCTGTGTTTGACTTTAAATTATCTTCACTAGTTTTCTATTGTCTTTTACATGTCTACTTGTCTCTTACCTGTTGTTTTTGGTTATTACAGGAATCCTTGATAAAATATTTTTCTCTAGGATCAGCAAAGAAAACTGTTTACTCCGTCTAACGAAAAAAGAAATTTTACACCATTTACTCTGGCTAAATTGTTTCCGTCAACACCACATAGCAACATGAGGCAATATAATAAAGAAATCATTCAGGCTAAGTCAAATTTTTCACATCTATTTTACAATAAACTAGTTATCAAAACACGTTCAAAACACGTTCAAAACACGTTCAAAACACGTTCAAAACACGTTCTAACAGACGATGAAAAAGAGCTCTTAATTTTGGGTTTAAATTTTATTCCTTCAATTACAAATACGTCACTTAATATGCACATAACAGCTTTTGAAAAATTTAAAACAACCCTTCTCCAACAACTCTACTTTGGGACCGAAGAAATAATGAGGCATCCATTTCATAAAAAATCAAATTGGTCTCCCCCTATGACAAAAAACAAAACTATTATAATTTATCTTAACTTGGTAGAATGTGATATAACCGCACTTATTTTCTCACAACTACCGAAAGATAAAAAAAGTTTAACTCCTAAACTTATTCACGCATTAAACTCCCTTATGTTTAATCCCACAATTATCATAAAAAAGGCCGACAAAGGAGGGGGCATTTGTATTTTAGATAAAACTGACTATGAAGAGAAGATCTCTCTACTTTTATCAGATAAAAATACATATAAACTACTCTGAGAAGACCCAACAAAAAGTATAGCGAGAGATGTTAACAATCTTACTGACTATATGTTTCTTCATCATGTGATTGATAAAAAAACATCAAAGTTTCTACGACCAAAAACACCCCTTCGTACACCCCTGTTTTATGGCCTTCCCAAGATTCATAAGATAGACACTCCCTTAAGACCAATTGTTTCTGGTTGTGACGGACCAATCGATAACTTACCGTTCTTTATCACAGAATTTACTCAGCCAGTTGCTGAACAATTACCAGCATACTTTAAAGACACAAAACATTTCCTTAAACTCCTTCAATCTCATGTACTAGAAACCAACAATTACATTCTTGTCACGGCTGATGTTATATCTTTGTATACAAACATTCCTCATCGCGAGGGCATTGACGCTGTAAAATTTTATTTAAAGAGAGCACCGCCATTTAACGGACCCATTAAACGCCCACCTATTGCTTTTATTGACATTATATTAGAAACAATCCTAACCCACAGCAACTTTCAATTTTCGACTGATCATTTTTTACAATTAACAGGTACTACCATGGGGACACGTATGGCTCCACCCTATGCTAATCTATTTATGGGAAGAATTAACGAGAAAATAATTGACCAATTTTCAATTTTCAAAAAGCTATATGGACAGTTAGAAACAACAATATACAAAAAGGCAACTGATACAACAGCACTATTGCATTATAATTCATTCCACCCCCCTCATCAAAAAAGTAATTTAATATATAGCCAAGCGTTAAGATACAATAAGATTATATCCAACAATTACAACCTAATAAAAGAGCTAAAACAATTAGCACAAATTTTAGTTATACGAGGCTACCCTATTCAATCTATTAACAAAGGTTTTAAACAAGCACTGCGACATACACAACACGAACTTATCTACAACAAATATAAAGAGGAAAGAGAGAATTTTACCGATAGTTACAACATTTGGAAAAGTTGGAAAACTCATAAATAAAATAGTTAAAAAGCACTGGAATATTGTTGAACAGGATACCGATCTTAAAAATATATGGATAACTTCACCATTGCGAGTTTCAAGAACATCAAATCGATCAAGATATTTCTAATCCAGACGGCGCATAAAAAAACATAAATAAAAAATCTATTTTTTCTTTATTAAGTTACATTTCCTAAGAGTTACTATTTACATACTATTATTGGTTTACCTTATATCAATTTTCTAGTTTTATTTATAATTTACTAGTTTTTTAATAAAATTTTATCGTGCGTTTGTTATGGTCATTGAAATCGGACCGTAGAGAAACCTTTACTTTTCAGATATTTTGGTTTAGAAATGGTCTCAAAGTTACTTGTAATTCGGATCGTAGAGAAAACTTTACTTTTTTACAATATTTTTTCCCGCTTCGTATATCGTTTTTATATCACGACTTATATCACTGTTATATCACCCAAAATAAATTTTTAACCACTAATTTATTTTAAATTTATCTGGCTTTGTTAAAGTATTTAGTTTTTCTTATTGCAATATTTATTAATATATTATTTATCTGCTGATTTTCATATTATTACTGTTTATTATGAATTTTTATGTTTTATTATCTTGCATTGATTGCTCAACTTTATTTGAATTTTCATACGCACAATTTTCATCTTTTATTATTATTCAGAGAAATTTTTTCATATCCTTCATTTAATGTCTACATTTATGCCGGTGACTTTATTAAGGTCTTTGTGCGACGATTTTTTCGCAACCACATATTGTTCTATCATTGTTATGATTCTAGGTTTCGCGGGTTTTTCATTTTCCTACACTTTTGATTGGTTATCACATTTCGAATAAGGTATCTATGACAGCGTTAGAGTTTATTTAAGGCTATTGTTGTTTTGTCGATTAAAAAAATTTTTTAATGAGGTATTCTGATTTCTTTGGATTATTTATGCTTATAATACCTTTCTGGTTTTAGATCTTAAATTAAATTTATTTATATTTTTATGTTTCGATTAGAATTTTAATTTATTGTGCTTTCATGTTTTCTTTCGGTGGTATGGTAAGTGATTTATTTAGTTATTTTTATTTATTTTTTACAGTTGATCTACACTTTTCATATCATACCATTAAAAAAAACATTAGTGTTTTACAAATTTTGGGTTGGTGGGGTTTTGGCTATTTGTAGTGAGTCCTTTTTTACTGCAGTATGGATAAGGCGTAAATCGCGGGGTAAAGCACAAGTGGCGATGACGTTTGTCTGACGGGATAAACTAGTTATAGGTGCTGATCCTCATCGAAACGCCTGTAATAATAGACGCGACTCTGAGGAGATGTTTATTACTTCATCACTACATTAATTATGTTTTCATATTAGCATTAATGTTCTTTTTCCATTCTGAGGCCTTACATTGTTGTATCCATATTTTTTTGTTTTTGTTTTTTTATTTTTTAAGTTATTTGTTTATCAACTTTTTGGTTTTTTAAAAAAAAATTTATTTCGGTTATATATTTGTTGTATATCTTCGTACGTACTAGTTTTTTATGATACAATTTTTTGTTATTATTATTGTGAGTACTACTTGAGTGTGTTTTCTGTCTTACTTGTTTTGAAATTTTCCTCTATTAATCTCTATTTTTGTCTTGACAACTGTCAAAGTATGCTTCGTTCGATAAATAATTCTTCTTTATTCTAATGTACTTCATTTCTTCCCTCGGGTGTTCACTGCTTGTGTGTGACCATTCGGCGAATTTTATATGCCAAAGTTTTTAAATAAAGTTAACAAATCCACTCATTTAAAGTACATAAGTAGTAATAGTGTAAATACCTTTAACCGAAAAGAAATAGTTATTTTTTGAGCAAAGCAATAAATAATAAACAGTCCCGACGGGCATTTTTTTTTTAAAGTTACGATCTAAATGTATTTAAAATGTCTTTTAAACGTCTTTTAAACATTAATGTTTAAAAGACGTTTAAAACACATTTAAAACACATTTAGAACGTAACTTTAATAAACAAATGCCCGTCGGGGTAATTTTTACAGTATGATGGAAACTTTAAATGTCTTTTTAGGGACTTTTTCATTCGTAAAATCTCTGGTTAAGACAAAAAAAGAAAATTTTGGAATCCGGAGTCTAAGAAGTCGGTCTTTTTTGACCCGAAGTCCTGAAGTCCCTAAAAATTGCTAGGATTTCGCATCCCTGGTCAATATATCGCTAATATTTTTCACAGTTTTTTGAAGATTGGGTGATATTAAAGAATTTTATGATCATTCTAAGTTAGTTTATATTTAGACAATTTAGCATATTTAAAAAAGTAAATGTTTGTTGCAAACAATTTCAGGATTGATAAAGAAGCCCTCATAATGCTTGGAGAGATGAAAATAAAGTCGAACTTTAAAAAAATAATTAAATTAAATAATTAAATGAACAGTATAACAGGGTGGCTAGCATTCTAAAAAACATGGAATAGTTAGGGCAATTCAAAAACTATGCTAAAACGTCAGTGAAAGATTAAGGAATTCATTTTTCAAAAGTCATTGAAAAGTCAGGAAATTTTGATGAACCCAGACTGAAAGAAAAAAATTCTTTTTTGGCATAGTATATTTGACTAATAAAACTCACACAACTTTATCAAAACAAATAATTTTTTTTATTGCTACATTTGTTAATTTTACATAGGCAAATCAGAGAAATTTCATCTTAGTCAGGAAAATCAAATCAAAATTATCTGGCCACCCTCTATTATTAAGAATAAGCACTGACAAAAATAAACAGAAATAATAATTATAAAAGTATAATTATATATTTTATTATTTTTGTCTGGTCAAAGTGCTTATTTTTAATAAAACAAATGATTTTTACAGTTTATTTATGCAGTTATAAACATAACTTTATACATAAATCAATTAAAAAGATTTTTCAATTATATTCTGCTTATATATACTTTACTTATATATATTCTATATAAAAGTAGAGTAAGTGTAGAATATATTATATTCTACACTTAAATTGCAATCTACCTGTTATCAAAAAATATTCTAGCATTTTATATTATATATTCACACTCCCCTTTGACCCATAAATAGTCACCAATTTATTTATTACAAACAGTAATCAATTTGTTTTATAGGCATGCAATACTCTCGATTACTTCATTTTTAAAACACATCTGTTTCTTAAATACTATTTTTAGCTTCAATGTGCGTTTTGCTTGTATCAGAAACATCTTTTCTGTTTTCTTCACTGTTTTCCACAATTTTTTCACAACTGCTGCCCACGTCTATTTTAATATCAGGAATAATGCATGATGGCTGAGTTTCATTTTGTGGTCTGATGTGTTACATGACACAAAACTCCATCCACCTCTACAATTTGTTGATAAACATCCTTGGTTCTTCAGTCTCGCTTTCACTTGGTACTAGGTGGTTTTAACCAAACTTAATTGCCAATTTAAATTTTTTGTTTGTGCAATTTTTTGCCAAAAGATTTTTTTCTTAATCGCTTAAAACCTATTTGGCAACCATATATTTTTCCATTGGAATTACGTCATTTTTTTTTACAGCAATATTGTGACGATTATTTGTTTATTGATTATTATTTATTTGCTTGAGTTATTGGTTTTTTTACAATTCTTCCCAGTGGGCACCCGACGTCAATCCGACGTCGGATTTACGTACGATTTTCATCAGCGATGTCAAAAGACCTATTCCGACGTTGTTCCGATGTCAGTAAAATGACGTCGGGCGATGTCTTTATCTCAACATCCCCTGACGTCGTTTCGATGTATTTTGACGTTGTTTCGACATCTTATAAAAGACGTCCAAAAAACGTCGCAGTACTGACATTGATCCAACGTCGATAAAAAGACGTCGGGCAACGTCATAATATTAACGTACTCCGATGCCTTTTGACGTCTTCCGACGTCAATCCAACATCCTTAAAACGACGTCGGAACAACGTCGTAAGACATCGCTGATGAAAATTTAATCCAAACCCAACAATATGTGTGCAATTGCGCTCTTCAATAAATATGTGAACTAAGCGTGTTTTTTATTAATGGAAAGAAGTTTGAATAATGGTTGATAAAACATCATGAGGTTTTGTATGATGCACTAGCATAGTTTTTTAACTATTAACATTTTCGAGTATACATTTTTTATAATATATAACTATTTGTTTTAATATTTATATAATATTTAAACAAAATTATTTCTTATCAAAGTAATAATTCCCAAATGGCTACAAGTATAAATTACTAAATAAACTCATTACATAATATGTCCCTATCGTGTAGAGTTTAGCGTGTAGGATTTAGTTTCTATTAGACCGAGGTTCGATTCCTGTCTAAGGCAACGGTTTTTAGTTTTTAAAAACACGTTTGATTTACATCGGAATGCCGACGTCGCGCGATGTCAGTTTATCCGACGTCAAATAACATTTCCATTTCCAACGTAAACCCAACGTCGATCCGACGTCGAGATCCGACGTAGCTTGACGTTCGTTCGACGTCGAAATGCCCACTGGGTTTTTATTGTGCGATGGTTTCTTTTTATTATTTTTTCATCTTCAGGGTAATTATAATCTGTCCAAGATATTTTAATTTAATTAGATTTTACATTTTACCAGTCGTTTTTGACTTTAATTAGATTTAAATTGTGATTTGAAATTGATTTACCAGTAAGTGCATCAGAATACAAGTGAAACACTGCCACAGAATCATTAAAAGTTATCATTTTTCCACATCACCACATCTAACTCTGCCTAGTGATTTCGCCGGTTATCCGTTTCAAAAACCGGATAACAGTTCTCATCAATTTGCGGTTAACCGACTATTCGGTTAATTAGTGACGCTTTCTGAATACAGGATCTTCTAAATTTCAACGAACAAATTTGTTTTAAACAAATTTATTAAAAATTAATGTTAAAGTGTACATTTTCAAGACAGTTAGTGAATAGAGTCCTATATTATATATTTATAACAAAACATGGAAAAAGATATATATATT